GTCTGTGCTTTCTTCATGGATGGTGTCAGAAACCTGCAGACTGTGGTATTTTATCATCCGCCAGATAATATCCTAAGTCTTCTAAAATTAGGAAAGTACAGAGAGCCTGTGATTTTGGCATAACCTGCAGCCTGGAATAATGTGTTGCCTGCAGAAGTAGCAAGTCTGATTGGCCCCAAATCCCAAAGAATTTAGGGCAATTCTTCATACTTCTGAATATAGGTTCATAGTTGTTGTCTTTATATTTTACTATAGATAATTATACTTTATGACAATGTTATCATTTTTTCTCTACTAATAAAGCCTAAGAGAGGATCACATTAAGGAAATAATACTTGGATCAGTCATCAAGTCAATACATAATCATCAGTCTTTTATTCTACTGGGCTGGATTTAAGGCGGCCTGCCTGACCACATTTTATCTGAGTTATCTCACAACACTAGGAAGAGACTGAAGTAGCATTAGGTCAACACAACAGGAAGCACAGCCTTTTCTGGGTGTATTTTGCAAAAGCTTGCTTGAGAACTTCCTCAGCTTACTGTTTTTTTTCTATACATACTTCACAGCTGAGTCTATTTTTGGATGCCTGCCTAGGTCACTATACAGGGCCAGCTGGCTAGCAGTTGGCTACTAATTCATAAAATGGTTGTTACACTTAATCAGAGCTAATTCTAAGACAATAGGCTCAGGGCCTTTTTCCTTAGAGTTTTTGGCCTGGCAGCCCAGTCCATGTTGGACTCTGCTAGACATAATGCAGATGAAGTTTCTTATGATGGACCTCTTGTTCTAAGATACAATTAAATTTAAGAATAGCAATTATTATGAGGTGCATATTGAAGTGCTTGGAGACAGGAACTAATTAATGAGCAGTAATTGTATGTTCCATTCATTGATTGCAATACATGAATTTTTTGATGCCAGGATATGATTTGGTTGTTGATTCATTGATCTGCATCTTGCATCCTGCATTATTTTGTTGAAACCATTCCTGAGAGCAATTGAAAGCTGGCCCATGATAATTGATTTAATCTATTAATCAGTCAATATTCAGGAATCCTGACAGATGGGGTTCTGGTTGGGTAACATGAAAGACATCAGCCTCATCAATCCAACTATGAGGACTTATTTGTCTCCATTAGTTAATTGGTTGTCTCTTTTAGCAGATACTGCCCTTGGAAGGTTAGCCTAGAAGCTTTCAATTATAGTAGTGTCTGCATTTTAAATCAAAGGTGATTTGTTCCCAAAAACATGAGCGGGCAGCCCCTGGTCCTCAGGGCTGGCAGCCCACAGACAGTTTTGACCAGGGTTTGATCCTGTTCTAAACTTTGGGCTTTGAGAGGCAAAAATGATATTCCTGACACTGTGAGTTAAATTGAAGTGAATAGAAGATGTTCTGGTAGCTGTTTGTCCCTCCATATCTGTCATTAATGAGATTTTACTTCACTTAATGAAGCAGACATCAATTGTGGTTCAAACCCTGGACCACCCAGCATGTGGGCCTGCTGGCTAAAGGACCATATGTCTGCATACACATTGTTTTCAGGATTAAATCTGAAATCAATCAGGTTAGAGCTTGAAATTGATGTGAGTTTTTTGTAGGAAAGCTAAAATCAAACTGATACTTCAGCACTTGATATTTTTATCTAAACTGAGGTCATAACCTGCTCAATTAGACCATTAGTCAATCTCTTTGAAGGGATCATCAATTATAGGCACTCAGAGTTGAACCAAATACCAGCCACCAACACTCATTCTGCCAGACAGCCTGGTCTTTCACACAGGCTTGAAGAACATAAAGATACCAATGTATATTTTTCTACACTAGTCAATGATTGTCTCTTGGGCCTGACGTCACTCTGCCCCTCTCAGATTACTGATCTTAGATCACATGGATTACATATTCTCATCCTCAAAATGAAGACTGGTAGGAGGATACCTGTACCCTGCCAATCTAGTAACAGATTGTATTGTTATTCTTATAATAAAGTGTGATGGACCTTTGTTTCAACCAGATTCTACCTTATATCATTCTATTTTTTTCATTTTCATTTGGTATCAACAGGCCTTTCTACCCCAGTTAACCTACCTACTGATTTTTTCTCAGGCCCCTGCCTTGAAATATACTGTCTGCTTGTTTTTCCTTTGGACTAATAAATTTCACTGGGTATCTGCTAAATACTGAATACAAGAATTTCACCTTGTAAAATATCCTTCTAAAAGACCCTGTGGGGTTTCTGTCCACCAGTCCCCAAAGTGTGTCCTGGGTCATAGCCAGGGACCAGCTGGAAGGGGTTGCTATTCTCTAGTAAGGGAGATGTATCTCAGAAATATGTATAGGGGTCAAAATGGGATTTTATTCACTCTCAGAAGGAAGATCCCCTTATAAATCATTGCTGATCACTTTTTCCTATAATAACTTAAGCTTACATACCTACTTTCCCAAAAGCTTAAAGTATCAATTCACTGTTTTCTTGCTTACACTTTAAGCTTTTGGCTTCCAACTAATCATATTCATAAGGAAACCTGCCAGAACTCAACCAATGAATGCAGAGCAAAAAACTAGACCATTTCTGAAGTTCCACTACAATCCAACTATGAGATTGATTTCCACTGCTCAAACTTCTCAAATCAACAACTCTTTTTTGTAGCAAAGCATTAACTGGTCCACTATTCCGGCACCATTTCACTCAATCAGCTTCCAATAAATATACAATTCAAACACTGTAACTTATTTCTTCATTTCCCTTCTTTCATTTATATGATAATTAATTCTGTCTTTATATCGTATCTTTTGGCAGCATTAATCATTATTTAACTGCTTCTTTCTTATTATTTCCTTTCTTAAGAGATCAAACCCAGTACTCTATCTCCTGTATTCATTTCAGCTAGTCCTTCTAAGCCAACTTCCAGTTCCTCAGCTAGTCTTGCATCATAATCTAATGGTCCTTCACCTAGGCCTGCACCATGATCTTCCAGTTCTTCAGCTAATCCTGCATCATGATCTTCTAGTCCTTAACTTCAACATGATCTAACAGTCCCTCAACTAGTCTTCACTGTGATCATACAGTCTGTCTTACTAGCCTTCACTGTTGATCCCATACTATGAACCACCTTGGTTCTCAATCTCAGTCACTGTTACCAGAACCTGTAGACCCAGGCATGAGTCTACATTATTACTGACGTTTGACTGGGCCCTTGCAATTAGCAACCACTTAGGCCATCCAACCATAAATTACTAAAGTCTATGTAGTTGTTTTAGTCACCCAGGTGATTAAGTCTGAGCTTTCAGTTGTAAATTAATCAGCTTTACTTCCCAGAGGCCTGATCACACCAAGTTCTGCAGCTGCTTCTCTGAGCAACTTCCTTGGTGACACCCCTAAGCATAGCCATGCCCTCTAATGCTCACTTTGGGATCTCCCCAAAGCTCCCATAGGGACATAGACAAGGACACCCTATCAATCTGCTAGGTAAAGTGCTTGCTCACAGACCTCCTGTAAGCATATTAGGGTATGTAGAGCTTTCAAAGCTCCTCCCCCTCCTGGAAGCCTGTGTTACCTGCCAGGGGTTCAAAAACTTACAGCCCTGGTAGCCAAATTACCTACCATGCTGGCATACTCCCCATCCCAAGCAGCTAAAGTTCCCTGCTGAGCTATCTCATTCCTCACCCCTAGCAGCTTCAGTTCCCTTCTAGGTGAGGTCCTCTAGCCCACAGCAGCCAATACCTCCTGCCAGGTGGGGACATCAGTTGCCTCTAGTAGTCCTTTGTTACCTACTAGCCAGTCCTTACCTTCCCTAGTAGCCATTATTCCCTACTAGGCCTCTACCTGCAACCAACCAACAACACACTGTCAATCTTCAGCATAGTGTCTTTATTTGAAGCCAAATCAACCCTCTCCTGCAATACCACTCACATATGGATTGTCACAGACCCCCTGGTCTAAATTATAGAACCATATTGGGTTAATTGAGAAGCCATCTGGAACACAATCCAATCAAGTTTATTCAATGACAAACATAATTATTTATCAGCCTATCTTATTCCTATGAACCATCCACTTACCCCAAAGCCCAACCACCCATCATTTTATGTTATTTTCAATGAAGTCACCTTTCTCAGCTATTTAGAATCATTTATATTACTCTTACTGTCTTAGTAGATTTGATGGTTCCTGACACCAGCCCCTTTTCATTGCCAGGCATTCATTACTTTATGTTATCAATTTTGGTAACAATCCAGTAGTGAACCCTATTTACCAGCCTGTAACTATTTCTGTTGGTCTGCCTCTCATAGATGTTATCCTGAAAATATTGGGGTAATACTCTGAGAAATTTTCTGAGCACAGCAGTTTGGTGGTGGCACATTGATTGTGATATTATGAATTTAACTTGGCCAGGTCCCTGACCAATTCTAGTTGAGGGTAGGTAATCAGAGTTATGGCAATTGATTTAAATCAGATTCAGAATAAAGAAGCTATTATTAAGGCTTTATGATTTATCCAAGTATTTATGAATAGAATTAAAACCTTGGTTCTATTAGAGTTGATGGACAAAGTCCTGGTGGTGGCTTATCTACCAACTAGGCTAGGAAGATAATGAACAAGTTGACCCATAAGAATCATATTTCCTGACAACAGGTAAAAGTGTGTCCCAAGCAAAGATACTACAGTTGTATATATAAAGACTTTCTAAAATAAACCAATCATGGTCAACATGAATTATCTATTTCTTTTTAATACTTTGCTGTGAAGTATACACATGTAAATAATTGATATGAGTTAATTGCACCACACTATCAATCAAATTTATTTTTTTATAAAACAAATAAAGATGTAAATTTGGTTTTTTAAATCACTATTTTTAAGAATACCTTTTTTTTATTGATTTTAAGCTATTTTTAAGCAATACCAAATCTCGGCACTTAAATACGACAATTTGGTACTACATAATATTAAAAATTAAACTTAAGAGCAATTAACTTTAATTCCGAGCTAAAAAGATATGCCTCTTAGCGGATTTGAACCACTGACCTTTCCCTTACTAGGGGAACGCTCTACCCCTGAGCTAAAGAGGCCTTCTTTTGCTTAAACAAACTTTCTTTTTTAATGTATAACAAATATAACATCAAGAATATCCAATCCTTATAGTGTGAGAATGAGTTTTTTTAAAAAAAACATATGATTTATGTAATATTATTATAATATATATACAAGGTATTGAATGAAATTATTTTTATAAAATATTTTTATTATAGTCTTATTTGACTACAGAGATCTTTTTGTAATTACTTCCTATATACTTTCTATGTTAATTATAGATTAGAACTCCCTAATGGCCGTGTTCCCTTTTAACGCCGTCTGTGAACTCAAATAAAAATTTGGTAGTTTAAAAAGTTAATTAGAGATTAGGTGTATAGTAAACTGATCTTTAAAGTATATTAGTTGAAGATATGATCCCATCTCAATCCGATGATATCCAATGATATTATATAAGACTAAATACAATATATTAATTATAATATTTTAAATGGCTAGTTTATCCCTTTTAAAATTCTATATACTGAGAACTTTTTTGATCAGATAATAATTGTTAAACTTAACTAATTGCACAAGTCAATCGAATTCCATCATTGCTTAATGCAAAATCAACATCCAGAACAAGGCAGAACTAGCTCGCTGTGGAATATATATTGCATTTAAAGATATATTTATGTTTTGTTTAGACTGGAACTCTCCTATAAAAACAAAATATCCATTTCAAGTGTCGCAATATCTTCAATTACTACCTCTCGGAGAAGTAATTCTCCGAGTGATTCCCCGACTAATCATTCAGTTGGTGGCACTCTTATCAAATCACCATCTAATACAGGGTTCAAACCTTTTGAACCCTAATAGGAACTCTACTTGGATAAGCCTCATGACAGCCATAATGTACATGGATGACATGTGGATTCTCATGATACTATATAATACTCTAAACCCATACCAATAAAGTATCATTCTCTCATTAAAATCCCCCTTTATTTTGTTTTATATACTTCCCAGAAGTATATACTCAACACTGTCAAAATTATTGTTGTTAGCAAAACCAGCTTAAAATAAAGGCAATCAAAAATCACCAAAAGAAAAAGCTTAAAATTTTATGGCCTGGTTTTTATTGTAATCACAAGCCCAGATTTGGGTTATTTCTAAACTCTTTACACAAATCAGGAGCCTTGAAAATCAATAATATGCCTTTGTTCCCAAATTGGATAGCTGTTGGTTGGCTGCCAAAATGTTATTTTTCTATTTTAGGATGGAAATACTACACATTTTGTGGGAATTCATTTTGTTTCAAGTCTGTAAAATTTTGCTTCTTGGTTGCTCTATTTTTGCTTTATTTTAGCCCTTCTATTAGTGCTACATCTGAATCCTGGTGGGATTATAGTATATTCTGGAGCAACCTCAATATGTTTTACTTGTTTTACTAAGTCACTTTTTTGTACTTTAGACTATGTTGTTTGATGTTTGATATAATTTCATACTTTATGTTAGTGATATTGCATTTCTTGTTCTGTGTTTTGCTAGTACACCAAAAATACTTAACTTATTTGCAATCTGAAACTTGCCTAGCTTGAAGTTTGCTTAAACATGAGTTCATTTTGTGTAAATCTGAGTTGTTTTTGCTTAGTATCATAGCTTTGAAAACTAATGTACAGTTCCATACCATATCTAGATTGTACCACTCATTACATTCCCTTAGGGACCCAATGGCTCACTAAATTGGTATAATAATTCCTTTCACATTTAATAAAGATGTCAGGGACCCATTTGGCAGGGAATAAGCTCCCTAGCTGATGGGCCAAAGCCCCCACATTAAAACCTGCAATTACCAAGCCAATAGGAACCATGACCATTGCGAGATGTCCAAGGTGCCCTAGGTAAGAAAATCTTCCAAACATAGAACTGAAACAACCAAGTAGATAGTAACCCACCAAATACATCAATAGGTAAAAGGAGGCATAAGGTCTAACCAGGGTAGGTTCAGCAGGTGGTGTAGTAAACAAACAACCATATTGGAACTTGAGTCCCCAATGTCCAGAAGGGTATCTGAACCATCCATTGGCAAGGGATTCCTTTTGGTGGGTGTCATCTGGAGAGGAGTTGTACCAGTCAGTTGTAGGTGTTGGGTTTTCCAAGGCCAATACCACTGGCAAGAAATAAGCTAGAAACCAGGATAGGAATAGAATTCCTCTCATGGCTTCAAAATGTGTTTATCAGAAAATGAAGGAGTAGCAGGTGTAGGATAAATCTTTATTGTTGGAACAATTGAAAAAGGTAGGAATAAACTTCTTAAATACCCAAAGGAGTGGGGCTGGGTTAATTCAAGAGGATCTTAGGAGGTGATTTGACAGGGATTTTCATGAAGATAATGTTTGAAACTAATACCTGGTGCATATCTGTCTTGATTTGGAGCTGAATGGCTTGTAAAACCTTAAAATTGTAAAATATGAGCCAGGAGTAAGAAACCAAAGAAGAAACAATTAAGCAGGTTAATTGCTTAATACATCAGATGTGAAAGTGCAGAGCCATATCCTGGTATATAATACTTAACGTTGGGAGCGGCAGAGTGAGTAAAAGCAGCCAATCAGGCTTTGAGCATATAGTGACGTCCTCTAATTGATTCTTTAAGGTATTCAAAGCAAAATCAAAGTTGGACATCAAATTTTAATGAATAAAACCAATATAAATAGGTAGTTTAACATCATCCAGACAGTTTAGACTAACATTTGAATTGTCCATAGGGTTTCAGGTTTGATCCCTGTCTGGGATATTGTCTAAGACTAAAACAGTGTCTGAACTATGATTGCTGGTGCTGTTTTCATTAAAATGATGTAAGGTTTCACCCAAATAACTGAAGTTGACAGGGAAGAAATCCCTGACAAAAGATCATTGTGGTTCTAATTCCTCTTTCTAGCCCCTTCTGGATTGTTGTCTTCCCCAAACCAAATAATGAACCATAATTCTCTCAGTTGCAACACAAGGATTGCATGAATTTGGTTAAAAATGGCTTTAAAATCATCTCTCCAAATGAAGCCACTGGAATGCTTGAAGCTAGGCTTTCTGTAAATTTACTCCCCCCTTTAGCCTTGGATAGGATATTATTCCCTTGCCACACCAATAAAATCTCCCAAATCCCCACTAAACCTCTGAATTCACTGGAGGATTTAGCACTGACAGTTGATGAGCAATTTTTCCTGGTGTAACCTTTCATGGCAGTATCCACTAATAACCAGACCTTTGTCCTAACATGGGAAGAATCTCTGATCAACTTGGATTACTTGTTGGCTTGGCTCTGTCCCCATTTTAAGCAATTACATTGTAACTAATCAGGACGTGCTTCTGTCAAATCAACAAAATCCAATCCAGCTGTAATTAATGGCACCCTGAAGCATTCTATAGGCATCAGCTAATCAGAAGTTAAATAGGAAATTATTAGGAAACTTTCCAACCCACTTGAAACTCCCTTGCAAAATTTCTCTCCTGGCCAATCAAAATTACTGCCTGGATCAGGTGACCTCTCAAATTTAAATCCTATCCTATAAAGAAAGACAGGGGACTTTTGGGCCCCTGATTGCTCAATCTTTACACAATAATTTTTTTGGAATTCTTTTCAATAGTTTTATTAAATTCTGGAGGTCCTTTTAGAGTCATTCACCTTTTAAAAATTATTATTAGTTAAGGTTTCCTGCTCCCTTACCTTCTTCTTTCTCTGGTGACCTGCTGTGTTTGCGGTGCTCCTAAGTTAATGTTAGTGTCAACAATAAGCCTTACACTTTACTCTTTTGAAATCCTGGTTTGAACTGGAATTTTCGGTATAGAAAGCCTAATATTTACCTATTTAAAGTTAGAAATCCTTTCACTTTTGCTTTCCTTTAACCCCAAAGTCTATACTCTTGATGTAAAGATCATCATTGGGCTCTTTGTCACAGAGCTAAGGTTTCCAGTTGCTCTCTTCCTGCCCCTGTCTACTAAAAATAGGTCATCTTCTTCTGGCCTTGACTTTTTGCTTTCAGTACCATCCCTCAAGGCCCATAAGCTTTATTGTTGTCATTTGAATGTTTGTTTTAATCTTCAAGTTTGTAGCCTTCACCTTGTCACCTGCCCTACTCCTGATTTGGACCACTTCTCCATATCTCTGGGGCAGATTTCTTCCTTTTTGTATCAAGTGGGGGACAATCCCTCCCACCTCCTGAATTTTGTGGAGGATCTTTCTAGAAGGGTACAAGACCTTCTTATCTCTGGTGAATATTTGGTCAAGAGCCTCACATGCAATGACTTGGACCTGGTCCTTCCTGTCCTAGTCCCTAAAAAGCCTCATGAAGAAAACCCTGTTGTTTACTTACCCCTTATAGAGGATTCTTAGTCTGCTTCTTGGGCTATGCCTGTGCTCCAGGATTACACACCCCAGAGTACCCCCTGACTACTTGGAGAAAATGGCATTGATGGGACTGAACTCCTACTTTCTGTCAGGGCCCAGAATGCCCTGGACAATCAGCTGGCCTTCCTAGAGGCAAAAAAACCCATAGCTTGGGAACCTTTACCAAGTGTCTTCCAGAGCAAGAAAAACCTCTTCCAACTAACAAATGGCCCAGGATTTGAGAGGCACACAAGCCTCAAATCCCTGGCTTTGATTCTATTATCAAATTTGGGCCTCTCAACTATTGGGAAATGGTACATTTGGAGCACAATTATTTGATCACACAATCAGGCACTTGATTGCTTGTGGGTTCTATAAATAACTATGACAACTTGGCATGCTGCAGTTCAAGAAAGATTCATGTTATACCAGCCAACGAGCATCTGCTTCCAGGCCCAAGTACACAATTTCTGGTCAAAATTGTAAGTTTAACTGAGAATAATGCCATCAGATCTCTGGTGGCACTAAAGGCCACACAATTACCAGTAAGTATAAGTATTGAGGAGGAGAAGCCCTTCTCACTGTTGACATCTTAATAAAACAAGTTTATGCCCAGAAATCATTATCTTATTGCAGGAATTATCTATTTTTGCTCAAATTTAATTATTCTCTTTG